TGAGCTTCAGGAGGATGACCCGTAAAGGTCGCCCACGTCGGCGTTCAATTGTCTTATGTTTCAGTTTGTTATGAGTCCTGGGGCTAAGAAGATGCGTCTCGACTCTCCTGTTTCTTCTGGTTTTTGGCCCCGGCACGATCCTCTTTTTCTTCTGTCTTTGCCTCGAGAAGGGTGTCGACCCGCCAGTACGTCTAACCCGAACTCTCCGTCTAGCTCGCTTGAGCACGAATAACCATCTCTTCTTTCTTCCTAAAGCTAACCCTTTGACCTTTCTCTTCTCTATTCTTTTCCTTTTCTTGGAACTCTCCCCTGCCTCGAATTGCCTCAAGGGAGCTTCATCCTCCACCATGGCTTTCCCTTCCCCTTTCGGGCTGGTTAGCGATAAAGCGGGCGTGGGTCTGGGCCTAAACAGCTTTAACCTAGCGTCCGCCACTGGGTCCTTCCACTTAGATCCATCTAATTCTGCTATCATATATGCACCCCAGTCGAGTGCCTCAACCACTCTGTAAGGTCGCATCCATCTGTTGGCGAGTTTTCCGGTCCAGGTTCTTTCCAGCGCTGCATCGTAAAGAAGGACCATATCTCCTACGTTCACCCTCWCTTTCCTAATTCGCACGTTCTTATCCCATCTCTCTTTACCCTTGTCCCTTTCTACTACCAGACGATCTGCCGCTGTCACGAGGTCATCTTCCAAACCGTAGGCTATTTGCCTCGTTCGGGCAGCTAAGAGTTCCTCTCTGGACATCTCCTCCGCCCAGTCAACGGTTGTCCAGCTGTCGACGTGAAACTCTATGGGAAGCGGACAATGTCGCCCAAACCACAAGGTGTACGGGGGGTATCCGGTACTAGCCCGGACCGTGACGTTGTCCGCCCATATTGCGTATCGAAAATATCGTGGCCAATCAGTGTCCTTACCCTTGCACCACTTGGACAGCGACGCTATCAGAGTCTGGTGTCCCCTCTCTACTGGGGAATTTGACTGTGGGTGATAGGCGGTGGCTATCGAAACTCTCGCACCGGCTCTCCTAAACACGCTCTGGACCTCGTCGGCTAGGAATTCCGCCCCTCTGTCCATCACTATCTTACTGACACAACCATACCTAGATAAGTACTCTAGGACAAAGTTCTTTACTTCCTTTGCCGCCTTACTCCTGATAGGTCTACCGTCCACGAACCCAGTGAAATCGTCTCGTATGTTCACGACGTAGTTCATATTGCCTACCCCTCTCGGCATTTTCACTAGGTCGATATGTACCTTCTCTCCTGGTCGGGTTGGATAGGATGGATGAAGTGGCTCTTTGTATTTCACAAGAGCTCTCTTCTGGCACTCTTCGCAGGTCCTACAATACCTCTCGACGTCCTTATACTGTCCTTCCCACCAGTACAACCTGCGTACCTTTTCGTAGGTTCCTTTGACTCCCCTGTGTCCTCCGACTACCCCGTCGTGAAGCTCCGCAACTATTGTTTGTCTCTCCTCAGGGTCACAGACTACTTGTAAGGGCATTCCCGACCCTACTGGCCTTCGGAAAAGGTGGCCCGCTCTAAGGCAGTACCGGGCTGCTTGCCTCCGGATATCTGAATCTTGACTCTCTTCTCCCGTCAGGTGTAGTCTGATCATTTGGTACTTGCCCTCGTAAACATTAACTAGAAATCTCTCGGCGCGCCTCGGCTCTGCCATTGTCAGAGCCCCAGCTACTATCGGACGCTCGAGAGGGATGCGTGAAAGTCCATCTGCCACGGCATTTTTCGTACCAGATACCCTTTCGACCGTGTAATCGTATAGCCGAATCCGTATTAACCATCGGGCGATGGTCGGGTCCGTCAGACTAAAGTCCTTCTGGAGGACAGAGGCAACCGCGGTGGGGTCTACTCTCAAGATGAACCGTCGCCCATAGATATAGTGTCTGAACGTGTCTAGACACCGGAGAACAGCTAACACCTCCTTCTTGAATTGACTGTAGTTA